AGGTGTCACAGACTGAAGGGCTGGAGGGCTCAGCCCTCCAATTCCTGGCGGACCCGTGAGGTCCCGATGGGGTGCCGGATGCATACGCGTCCGCTGTATGGAGAAACTTCACCTAAGGAGAAACTGAGGCAGGAGACCAGGCTTAATTCCAAATCTTAACCTATACTTCAACTACCAGCTCATTTCAAAAAAAAAAGGAGGAAGAGGAAGAAGGTGAAAGAGAAGGAACAGAAGAAGAAAAGAAAAACTTTGAAGGTACTGTTCCAAGACACACAGCAACTCAGTAGCCTCTGCTCTCTATCAAATCACAAGAGTAAGAGAAGGAGACCGCACCCCTCTCTCCCGGCAATGCTTCCCATTGTGCCTTCCATCTAGCCGGCAGCGGCTTCAGCCTTCCCCGCGGTTCGGCGTTCTCCCACCGGCGGATCAAGGGAAGTATCCCAGCCCACACTAAGCGGGGAACTCACGGCTAAGCAAGGGAGATATCCTGGCAGGGGCGGGGGGGGGGGGGTGTCGCACGGTTTTAGGGTCAGGGGAGGGGTCTGTAAATTGCTCATTGCCTTTTAGGTCCGGAACAAGAAGGGCGCCAAAAGATCTTGAATCACCAACCGCTGCCACCTGCCGGAAGCCACGGCTTGGGCGTGTTTCTCCAGCTGGAGAGAGGCATATCCCGTGAGCCCGCGAGCGCATCCCGTGAGCCCGCGGGCGTTCGAGGACTACGACTCCCGGCATGCTCCGAGGCCTCTGGGGTTAACCCTTCGGGACCCGCAGCCTCCCAGCGCCCCGCCTCCGCCCTTACCTGGATCCCGCAGGGTGAGTTTTTGGCAGCTGGGGAGGGATTCTTTCCTTTCATCTTTCCTTTCATTTAAGCTTTATTGAAGGTGTGCGTGTGCGTGTGTGTGTGTGTGTGTCTGTGTGATTGTGATGTATTCTGGAAGGGTGGAATGATTCTGATTTTTCTAAAATGGGACAATGTTCAGTAATGAGATTCAGACGCATTTTTGCAAGTGGAAGACCGGGCGCCAACTCTCTGAACCCCAGGATCTACGTGGAATCACTATCTTCCTCGGAATGCTGCCTAAATCCTTTTCTTCCTTACCCCTAGAACAAAAGTAGCTAGCAACACCTCCTGTATACCTATGGCCTCTGACTTAGACCTTACTCTAGTGTCCCCAGCAAGGTTTGGAAGCTAGCCCCAGAGTCAGGGTTTTTATTGTCCCTTTGGTTGGGAGATGAGTAACCGTGGAGCCCATAGGACCTCCCACATCCTTTCAGATTAAAGATTTTAGAATTTAGGCCCTTTGGGTCTCAGGGCCTACCCTTCCCTTCAGGTGCACCACAGAGTCCCTGTAGGTTCAGCAGGCACCCTGCCTTTGTCTGACTTGCATAAGCATGAGCTTGTGGAAAAAGGTATGGGTGGTGGGCGTTAAGCCAGATCCTGGCCCCCACCCTCATCCTTAAGACAATCCTAGGAACAGGAGACAATGGGGGTGTCACACTCCTCTTTCTATTACTATTCTTTATCTATATTGTGCACAATTACAGTTCTGGGCTGGGAGGGAGGGGGACAGGGACTGTAGGTATTGGAGATTAATAGACTGTGGGGTCAACTACCTCTACTCCTCATCGGTGGTAAGAGAGGCTTTTTTCCCACCTTTTACTGCTCTTGGACCCCCCCCCCTTTTTAAAGATTTTATCTTTAAGTAGTCTCTACACCTAATGTGGGACTCAAACTCACAACCCCCAGATCAAGAGTCACATGCTCTATGGACTGAGCCAACCAGGTGCCCATCACAGACCCCACTTTAACAATTCCAGTTCATAAGGCCTCCCTCCCTGCCTCAGCCTTGAAGAGTCTAAAGCTACTAGAAAAAAGGGCTACTCTGTGCCAGGGGGTTGAGGCCTGGAATGCCTGGATTCCCTTTTTTGCTTCACCCCTGTATCAATGTCTGTCACTGGCAAGCATCCTATCCTTATCCCAGAGGTTAACTCCCCCATTCTGGGCAGTTTCTGGCTTCTGTCCCCTGCCCCCAAAGGGGCCATTGTTCTGGCCAGCATTTGGGCCTGAGTGAACAGAAAAGAGAAGACCTTGGGGCAGGAGTCCTGAACCATAGGAGTCCAGGACAGGCCAGCATATCTCTCCTCTATCTCACCCTCCCCACCGCCAACTGGCTCCCTGCCCCTGCCCCCGCCCCTTGACATCCCAGACTCCCTGGCTATTTAAACAGAGATGGGTGCCCCCATCGGCACACTGTCCTTTGGCCACCGGACATCATGCCTCCCAAGAAGGATGTTCCTATGAAGAAACCAGCAGGACCCTCTATTTCCAAGCCTGCTGCCAAACCAGCAGCAGGGGCTCCTCCAGCCAAGACCAAGGCTGAGCCAGCACCAGCACCAGCACCAGCTGTCCCTCCAGCCCCTCAGAAAACCCAGGAGCCCCCCATCGATCTCTCCAAAGTGGTGGTGAGTCCCAGGAAAGTGAGGAAGGAATTTGGAAGGGGTGGTACAGGGTGGGAAACAGCCTAGGGGATTGGGGTATCTGGAAGATAGGGAGTCAGCAGCATTGGAATGATATTGGAGATTCCTCTCAGTCTCCCATTTGGAAGCATCAGGCTTATGACTCTGATGTTGTCTTTGTTGTTCTCTCCCTATAAACTATAATGTGTGTGGGTACATGCACACATGCATACACACACACTCTCTCTCTCTCACTGACCCCCTTGCTGGAGGCAGGGATTGTGACATGGGGAACATCTGGGTTCTGAGGACAATTTCAAGGTGAAGGGAGGGAGCTGCTGCCTGTGCCTGACTGACTGTTCAATTCTAAAAGCCACAGCTCTGAACCCCAGGAGGGAAGGCTGAAAAGGACAGACTTGTTAGACAATCACAGCTGGGGGCCAGGGGTAAATTTAGCCTTTGTTCAGCCCCCAGTTATGTGAGGGATGCAGGGCTCAGGGCACTGGAGGGAGGGGAACAGGTGGCATGGGATTAACCCTGTTCCCAGGAAACCCTCCCCCCATAATTCCTCCTCTTGGGATTCTCCCAAGGTCCAGAGCTGGGAATGGGACTGAGGTGGCTGGGCTCCCAGCCTGGTCTCTTTGGGCCCCTCCCCAGAAGTGGCTGCCAGTTGGTTGGGAGGAGTGCTGGAAACAGATTGAATGAGCCCTGTCATCCCTCCTCACCTGCTCTTTTCTTCCACAGATCGAGTTTAACAAGGACCAGCTGGAGGGTGAGGAGAAGCTGGTCCCTTAAACCCTACTGTCTAGTCCCAAGCCCATGGTCAGATCCTTTTTCTGTTCCCCTAACTCCGGTCCCAACCTTAAAACTTTCCATGCTAGTCGTCTTTGTGTCTACTATTCTGCCCAGCTTTAGCACATAGTTTCTGAACCTACTTTCTGTCGGGGGGTGGGGGTGGGGGGTGGATGGGAACCTCTGGTCAACACTGACCCGCTCCTTATACTTCAGAGTTCAAGGAGGCCTTTGAGCTGTTTGATCGAGTGGGGGATGGCAAGATCCTGTATGGCCAGTGTGGGGACGTGATGAGGGCCCTGGGCCAGAACCCCACCAACGCCGAGGTGCTCAAGGTCCTGGGGAATCCCAAGAGTGATGGTGAGGGGGATGCCTGGAACAGTGCGAGTTTTCAATGTGGTGGTGGAACTGAGGAATGTTGGCAAGGTCGCAAAGGATGCTGGGGTGGGTCTCTGGACTTAAAAAACTGTCAAACACAAGATAGAAAAACATCCTGGATGTTGAACAGAATGAAAGCCTTCGTGGTGGGAATGGGAGCTGGGTCCAAGGTGACTCTACAGTGACCTCTCCCTCCCCTTTCTAACTTCCAGAGCTGAAGTCCCGGCGTGTGGACTTCGAAACTTTCTTGCCCATGCTCCAGGCGGTAGCCAAAAACCGGGGCCAAGGCACATATGAGGACTACCTGGAGGGCCTTCGGGTGTTTGACAAAGAGGGGAACGGCAAAGTCATGGGAGCAGAGCTCAGACATGTCCTCACTACCCTGGGTGAGGCAAGGACCAGAACTCCTGTGGGTTGGAGAGAAGGGGGTGGACCAAGAAGGTTAGCCAAATAGGCAGAGCCAGGGAAGAATAATGGTCCTGTAGGTCATGGGCAGAAGACTGGGAAGGTCAGAGGGGGCAGAATCTAAAGGGCTTCTTCCTGCAGAAGGTAAAGTGAGGGTAGATGCGGATGCCTCCCAAAGGACAGAGGAAAGGGGATGAGCTGATTTTCTGTTGTAAAAGAGATGCTTGTGCTCTGTGATTTGGTAGCCCCTTAACCCTCTGGAATTCAGTCTCCCTCTGTCAGGGCTCATGCAGGTGAAATGGAAAGCAAGATGGAGGAACACATTCAAGGTGTTAGCATTACAAGGAGAGGATTCCTTCGGGGTTCTGTTGCTATGAACCAAGTATTCAAGGGTGGGAGAAGAGAAGCTATCATCCAGAAGAGAGTGGCCTGGTTTGGGAGGGAGGGCAGGCACTAAAATGCTGTGTCTGTGGCTCAGGAGAGAGGATGACCGAAGAGGAGGTGGAGACTGTTCTGGCAGGACATGAGGACAGCAATGGCTGCATCAACTACGAAGGTGAGGGGACAGGGGAGAGGAGGCAGAAGGCTCGCGGTATGTGGATGGGGGGACCAAGGGCCTGGATTATCTAAAATCAGATGGATTATCCAAGGGCCTGCTTCTGAACCCCTCTTGCTTCCTCTCTGTAGCCTTCCTGAAGCACATCCTAAGCGTCTGAGCTCTACTGGTACGGCCCTCCCACTCCGACTGGGGAGGCAAGTTTCCTATCCTTCCCTCAGTCTGGGTAGAAAAGTAGGGAAGTGCGTTTTCATGTCCTGGGGCGCGAGCGCGACAGGCCTTGGCAACTTTCATCTTTTTCCACAGATGCAGTGGGGCCAGACACTGCCCCTCCCCCCCTTCCCCGGCAGGCGGAAGCACGTTCCTGCCACTGGGAGGCCACCTATTGTTTCAAAATAAAGACACAGTTCAACCCTCCCTTGGCGTCCGACTCATGCTTTCTTCAGAGGTGGGGAGGGAAGGGAGGGTTCTCCTCTCCCCAATCCGATATCCTCTGATCTTCCTGCTGCAAGGAGGAGCAGATTCCTTGTGCCCTACCCGATCCACTTCTGCAGTTTCTTCCCCTCAGGTAGGGCTATTCTAGAGGAAGAAGCAGCGGGCCCCGCCCACCTCATTACTAATGTAGCAATATTATCTGCATAAGGCCAGACCAGGATTCTTATTGGCCGGATCAGCTAGGGTGACGTCATTGGAACGTACGAAGACTAGGGTTGGGCCGGGAGCCGGAGCCATTACTGCAGGAAAAGGTCCCGCAGAGCAGAGCAGTCAAGATGGTGGGGCCCGGGGCCTGGAAGGATGAGCGGGATGTGGGGCAAGAGGCGGGAAGTCGGGGGTAGGGGCTTGCAAAGGGAACCTGAGGGCTTGGAAGGTCGGAGGTGGGGCTGGAAAGTTTGGGGGCCTGTCCTGCCGGGAAGTGAGTGAGTCCCCAGCATGGAACAGGAGTTAGTGGTTCAGTTTGTGGGACTGGGATAGAAGCTTGGGGGTTTGGAGTTCAGATGCTGACCGCTCCCCTCTTCTCTGAGCAGTGTGACTTCACCGAGGATCAAACTGCAGGTAGGTAATCTCTGACCCCTACTGAGGTCATGCTTAGGGATTGGGACCCCCGCCTCTAGCACCTATTCCCATAACCCCACCTGTCATCTCTTCAGTACCCGCAGGGAAGTACTTCCTGGATTCCCTTCTCTTTCTGGATCCTCCATTTTCTTTTCTCACTCTTTCTTCCTCCCTCCCATTGCACTCTAGATTCGAGCCCCAAGCCCCGGGTGAGTTTTAGGTGGTGTGGGTGTGTGAAACAACTTGGTCACCTAATGCCTGCTGTGTGTGGAGTTTGGGGAGGGTGTATTAAGTTGCCTGCACTCCTCTGTCCCTTAATCAGCTTCTGCCTCTTTTCTCCTCCTGTGATAACTCCCCTCCCCCAGCTTGGATTTGTGAAGATTGTAAAAAGCAGTGACCTGGAATTTTGTGAAACTGGGGACGGGGAATTTGCCGAGGATACTTCATAGTTGTATCCTCCGAATGTCTCTTTCTGTACAGTAGGGGTGGGAAGTGGCAGGCTGGGATGACCCCTGTCCCAGGCTGCTGCTCCCACTTCCTTATAAGGACAGGACCCAGACAGGGCGGTGGCAAATTCCTGCCCTGAGTAGAGTTGTGAGGAGGCTGGGCAGGCTTGCTGTAGGCAGAGGGGGCGTTTAAATGGATGTTACCACTCTGCCAAGGGGGGGGGAAGAAGGCTGTGTCATTATGTGGGACACCTGAGTTGGGAGACAGGGACATTAGATCCCTCTTAGCGGACTTCAGTGTACAGTGGTATAAATATCTGGTTTCCTTAGCATGATCAATGTTCACTGGGCAGAAGGGGATGTCAGGGAGGTTTTGGGTTAACCCCCACATGCCCAGTGCTGATGTGTATCTGAATCTTCAGAGTTCAAGGAAGCCTTCCAGTTGTTTGACCGAACAGGGGATGGCAAGATCCTGTACAGCCAATGCGGGGACGTAATGAGGGCCCTGGGCCAGAACCCCACTAACGCCGAGGTGCTCAAGGTCCTGGGGAATCCCAAGAGTGATGGTGAGGGTCTTCAAGAACAATTTCTCAGTGTGGTAATGGGCCTACAGTTCTTCAGCTGAGAGCTTCCCTTTATCTTCATAGGCCCAGAACTCAAGCAGGTTTGTCTCAACTAGCAAATCCCACTGATCTCTCCTGCCTTGTGTGGGAGCTGCCTGCTTACTTGTGATCCCTGTAGTCTCCTCAGTTCTGAGAACCTGTGTGACTTTCCTTCCACCTTCTTTATGGCAGAGATGAATGTGAAGGTGCTGGACTTTGAACACTTCCTGCCCATGCTGCAGACTGTGGCCAAGAACAAGGACCAGGGCACCTACGAGGACTATGTCGAAGGCCTTCGGGTGTTTGACAAGGAAGGGAATGGCACCGTCATGGGTGCTGAAATCCGGCATGTCCTTGTCACGCTGGGTAAGGCCCTGCCCTTGCTCTTTGAGCAGTGCTGCCTGATAACACACCTGCTGCCCAGTTCCCAAAATGTTTTTCTTTCCCTCTGCAGGTGAGAAGATGACAGAGGAAGAAGTAGAGATGCTGGTGGCAGGACATGAGGACAGCAATGGTTGTATCAACTATGAAGGTGAGGGATGAATTGGGGCTCTTGTGGAGAAAGCAGTTGTATAAGCAGGTCACGCCCAGTATTTGGGGCTTTCTCTGTCCCTGGGCTCCAGAAAGAATGAGGCAAGGGGCAGGGCCCGGCCCAGCCCAGCCCAGGAGTGGGAGGCCACAGGGGTATGACAAGAAAGGAAGGGGTAATGTGTGAAGGGTGGGGAAAGAATGGGAAGTAAAATAAAGGGAATGTCTGTTCCCCCACCACCTGACCCCTTCACCCCATGTCTGTGTCTTGTCTTCACCATTAATGTCTCTTCCTTCCTGCAGCATTTGTGAGGCATATCCTGTCGGGGTGACGGGCCCATGGGGCGGGTACGGCTCCTCCCAGCCTCCCCTTCTCTAGTTGTCCTCCCTGGTGTTTTTCTTCCCAACCTTTGCTCTCTAGCCCCTGCCCTTCCCCTACTACCATCTGACTTCCTCCTAGCATGTTTCTGCATGGAGCTGACTGGGGAGGGGAAGGGTTCCTCAAAGAGGAAGACAGCCTGGGGGTGTGGTACCTCCTTTTCTCCTAAAATGGGCTCTGAGGTTTTGCTCATAGGGCCCAGGGTGCTGGTGTCTGGGAACTCACACCAGCCTGTCTCCGTCTTGCTTCAGGGTGATCCTTTGGCCCTGGCGCACAGTGGTTGGCATAGGGGGGTTGGTTGCCTGCCCCATTGTGCTGCTATAGCTCAATAGTCTTTTCTTTTTCCTTCTGCTGGGCAGCTTGGAGGTACCCTAACCCATACCTCTGTCTTCTCCTGCCAATGGCTGACAGTAGCTGTAGGTGTAGTTGAGAACTTTCCTGCCTCTGCTGTGTTCTTGCTGCTCGGGGAGAGGGTGGGGAAGCTAACAGCTGGTGGGAGGGAAGCTGGGGGCTGAGAGAACTGGGAAGACCCAAGGTGGCCTCTACAAACCCAAGGTTGGGTTCTGTGGGCACGTTCTTATGCTACCTTTGTGGTCTTGTGGTCTGCTGGCCCCTGGTGGACCCCTCCCCTTGCCCTACTCCCTGGCTCACCCCTCTCTTCTATCCACAGAGCTCGTCCGCATGGTGCTGAATGGCTGAGGATGTTCCTGCTGTGCCCAAGCCCCATACCTTTCCCTGTGTTGATACTGTGCATGTAGCTCTAAAGGCCTCCTAGGTCCTCTTGTCACAAGCACTTTTGCTAGCTTGTCTCTCTTGGATGTTATTTGCGTTCAGCATTCACCAAATAAACTTGCTCTGTGCCCCTAAGTGCGGTTCTGCTTTCCTTCCCAAGCAGGGTGGAGGGGGAGAGAGGGTCAATAGACCAGGGGTTGGGAAAGCTGGGAAAGGGCTTGAAGGATCCATCTTTGTCATTGAAGAAATGCTGGCCCCATTCATTTATGCTACAAAGGCTACCCCTTGGGGGATTAAAGAAGCCATAAATCCCTGTAGGACCAAGACTGGCCACCCTTGTTCTATCCTATCCAGCTGAGTCCTCTCCTAGCCCTCCAGCTGGCTAAACCCAGACTTTACCCTCCCAAGCACTGAAGTCCTTTTGTGGAGGAAGCCCAGGGAGTGTCTGAATGGAGCTAAAGCCAGGCCATATTAGCACAGCCTGAGCCTGTCTGTCACCTTGGCAGGGCTAGAGGCCAATAATAACAAGTCTGTGAGATGCCTGCCTTCTTCCCGCCTAATAAGGGAAGGAATGGAGCCATTACTTCTGAAAGGATAAGTATACAAAATCTCCAGGTTGTGAGGATGTCCTTCCAAGTCTCAAACAGCTATTTTTAGGGCAGGTGAGAGCCTCTGCCCAGCTCCCATACCAGTGCACAGTCCTGACCGCTGTGCTGCCTTTAGCCTGTTGTGGAGAGAGGCCCAGTATCTGTGCCTGGCTTGCTCAGTGCCTCTCCAGCCCAGGTGCGAGCCCCTGGGAAGGACTCCTGGAAGACTCCCCCCAGCCCAATCCCACTGCCTGACAGCCACAGGTAAGAGAACACAGAAGGCATTCACAAGATGGAACTGAAAGCAAATTAATTTATAAAAAAAAAAAAAAAAAAAAAAAATAAAGAAAAAAAAAAAAAGAAAAGAAAAGAAAAGAAAAAAATTTACAGAAAACTTTTGAACAGAAGAAAGGTGCGAAGACGCAGAGGAAGAGAAACACGGGACGTGAGGAACAAAGCTTGGTGGGAGGGACCGGGAAGGAACTGGTGGCGAGCCTGGAGTCCCATCTGCCTTCACATCAAGGATGTGGAAGGGAGAGACGGTAGGGGAGGCAGTGGAATCCAGGGAGCAGAGCCTAGCTGCAAGCTGGCAGTAGGCACTACCCTAGGTCGGGCACCCCTCCACTGTCCCTAAATCCCAGGGAACCCCTAGCTACCAGTCAAGGTTCTGATGGTACTGGGGGAAGAGGGAAGAGGTTACAGGGGTGACCCACCAAGTCATAAGGAGGTGCTTAAGTGCTTTTTGAAAAATTCAGGTTAACAACTCCCCATCCTCTCTAGTTCCCTTCTCCATGTCTTCTAGGAGCCCAGTGACAGGGCCCAGGGAGGAGGAAGAACAGTGCCCTTTCTTCCTCTATTACCTACCACAGGAATCCCCAAAATATGTTTCCCCACCAAATACACATACGCTGACATCAACTACGCAGGTGACTTTTAAAAACACAAAACTGACATTCAGAGGGAAAGGGGTCATTGGCTGAGCTGGGGTGGCCTAGAACAGCAACACTGAGGAAGCAGCAGGAGAGATTAGTAGGAATAAACTGGGGATGGGGCGGCTGAGGGGGGTGGGGAATTGATTCGGTCACTAACGAGGGGGGGCTGGAAGAGACAGATTCGGCACCCTATTCTATCCCCAGAGCTCTCCCAGAACCTTAAATCCCCCTTTCCTGTCACCTCCCTCCTCCAAAAAATGTAAAAGTTGGGTGGGGTAGTTTTTTTTGTTTGTTTTGTTTTGTTTTGAGTGGGTGGAGGAAGCTGCAATGTGGCTTTTTTCTCTACTTCCTTTAAAGGGCTTAATTTTGTTTTATCCATAAAAAATGCAGTAGCTTTGAGGGGGGTGCACCCTTAGAAGTGGTTAATTAGAACCTTGTAGAAACACTTTTCCCCAGCCCTTTCTTCAAGGGCAGCATCCTCATCCTATCCTCTCTCCCAGAAATTAGAAACATCTTTTAAAGAGAAGTCCTTGAATAATCCAATATAAAAATGCATGCCCCTGACAGGCATGGCGGGGGCTTTGGAGGGGCAGGAGGAGCTTTCCTTACGTAGTGATGAACTCTCCAGGCTGGGGAAGGGTCCCAGTGGTGGGGAGAGGGCTGTTCCTGGAACCTTGATCTCCATAGGGGGTGAGGGAGAGAGATGTCTGGCTGGCTCCTCACTGTGGAGGTGGCACAGGGGTGACTGTGCCTGGGCTTGGGGCCGTGGGGTCTGGAGGCAGGGGGGTACCTGGGTCTGTGGAGAAAAGGAAGACGAATCAGCTAGGGTGAGCAGGAGAGAGATCCAGACCCAGGCCACCACAGACAAACAGAACTGGGCATGGCATGCAATGGGTGGGTAGGTGACTGAGGTACCCACAATGTACAACTTCATTTCCCAACACCCTCTCCCACCTCATACTGGGAAAACTGAAATACCCCAAATCTTCCTGCCCCCAAGGAAACTCTCTAAATGGGGCATTCGAACGTGATGGGAACAAGCAAAGGGGATGCCAATCATCATGCAAACAGGTAGCTGTTTTTCAAGTTTACAACTGAGATGCTGTGCCTTAGGACTCCTCCGTGACCCACCAGTGAAAGGCCCCAACGTCATCCCAGAGGTGGCAGCTGCCAGGGTGGGGACTGGTGGAGGACAGCCAGAGAGGCCCTTCCCCCTGTATTCTAATTTACCAGAGCGTTCAAAAAGGATTGTGGAGTTCTCGTGCCTAAGCCCTTCCCCCTACCTGCCCCCCATCCCTCCATGTAACCCCTTTCCCTCACCCTTCTCCCCTCCAGGACCCTTCTCACCTGGCAGTGGGCTGGCACTGGGCAGGAGGTTGCCCTGAACAGCTGCCACAATGGCAGGGCTCTGGGCTGCGGCGGATCCGAGCCCCGGCCCGAGAGGCAAGGAAGATGGCATGGTGGTGGTCGCCGGCAGGTTAGGATGTAGAGGGTTCGCCATGGACACAGGCAGGTTAGGTGGGGGAAGAGTGCCCGGGGCAAACGGGAGATGGTGGTGATGCCCATGCAGGTTAGGAGGAGGGGGCAGGTTAATACTGATGGAGTCAGCTAGACTACCAAATGGGATGATGGATGGAGCGGGAGGAGGAGGAGGAGGCGGCATGCCAAAAGGCAAACCCAAAGGAGCATTACCCGCCACGCCTGGGTGCCCGCTGCCTGGCACTGCCCCTGGCATCATTGAGGGAGGAGTTTGTTGGTTGGGGAACGGTGAGGGGCCTGGAAACACAGAGGAGAGACCAAGGAGGTTAGAGGCATAAAACCTCCCTAACCAACTCACTGTCCCAGCAAGGATAACCTAGCCACTCCTCAGCACCACTTTTCCTGATACGAGAATAAGTGATAAATCCCTGGAATAAAATTCCAAAGCTCTGGGTCTGGGGCAGGATTGCTGTCGTCTCAAGGATATAACAGAGGTGAGAGAGAACCCATCTGCAGAAATTTCCAGTCCTGTCACAGATCCCTTTTGAGGGAGCCTTCTAATCAGCAAGGGTTCCAGAACCCAGAACTTACCATGGGGTCCAGGGGGGGGTACCCCTGGCGGAACCGCCCCAGGCTGGGGGGCTCCAGCTGGCTGCTGCTGCTGCGGCCCTGCCGTTGACCCTGCGGGCCCAATCTGTTCAGAGGGGCCCATGCTTCCAGGAGGGGCCCCGCTGCCAGCAGGAGCAGGGACCACAGAGGCCGGAGCCATGGCCAAGCTGTGAACTGCGGGTGGCCCAGCAGTGCCCGCAGGTGGGATAGGCTGGGAGCCTGGGGGCAGGGCTGGTGGTGGCTGCTGCTGCTGTTGGTGCATTTGTTGGAAGTGCTGCTGCCGGGCCCTCATCTCTGCGTACTTCAGCTGCTCCATGTGGAAGGCTTGTCTGTCGGCCAGGAGCTGCTGCCTCTGATACTCCAGCTGCCAGTGCCAATTGAGTACCGTTACCCACGTTCACAAGATCACAAAGGCAAACACCTTGCCCCCTGCTTTGTCTTCTGACAAATCCAGCCTCTCATTCTGGCAGTTCCCCACATCACATGTAAATCTTGTGCTTGGGCTTGCCCTGCCCTCCCCTGTCCTCCCCTTAAGAATTCCCATGACCATGTCTTCTGGCTGCCCACATGGCTTCTCACTGCAGTGGAGTTAATCTAGTGGGGACCCTTACTCATTTCAGCTTCGAAGCTTTGAATCTGACATTATGTTCATTTGGAAAACGCTTCCAATTCCTCTTGTCAACTTGCGTTTTCTTCCCCCAAAATTGGCTAAAACACTGACCATTTTTAGGAAGCCATCCCAGATCAACTCATTAGCCTCTGAGCTTTGCCTTTATTTTGTTATATCTCAGGACTTATATACGTGATTTAGAATCTTTTAATTTGAATTTGTCAGATACTTTAAGCATTCACTTTTTGATGCCTCTGTATTGAATATTGGATATCTCCAATTAAACTGCAGGTTCTCTGAGGTTAGGATCCCTGTTTTCTATTTCTTTTTATATGGTCTCAAAAACAAAATGGTTTGGGGTGCCTGACTGGCACAGTTGGTTAAGCGTCCGACTCTTGATCTCAGCTCAGGTGATGATCTCACATTTGTGAGTTCAAACCCCACATCAGGCTCTGCGCTGATGGTGCAGAGCCTGCTTGGGATTCTGTCTCTGCTTCTCTCTGCCCTTCCCCTGTCTGTATGTGCGTGCGCGCTCTCTCTCTCTCTCTCTCTCAAAATAAATAAACATTTTTAAAAAATGGTTTAATACATTGTCCATCCCATCCCCCTTCCAAGTTTACCTCCTGGATCTGAAGCCCCCTCCCTCTCATCATCCCTTAAACCTGCTCACTCATTCAACGATATTCACACTCTACAATGGGTAAAACACTGGTCGAGGACCTGGAAATGAGGCAATCAAAAAAATAACTAGATGGTTAAGCGTCCAACTCTTGATTTTGGCTCAGGTCATGAGCTCTGCAATGGGGTTAGAGCTGGGCATGGAGCCTGCTTAAAATTCTCTCTCCCTTTCCCTCTGTCCCTTCCCTGCTTGTGTCTTGCTCTCTCTTTCTTGCTCCCAATAAATAAATAACTAAATTT